TCCGATGCTTGTTATTTTCACTGTAAGTACTCTGTTAATAATGAGTGAAAATGGTGCGAAATTTCATGTTCCTAGCTGCATAAATGGAGGAGTTATGATAAAAGACCTCATATCTGAACAATCAGTTGTATGGGGGCTGCAGGTTATAGTGACCCGATCTTTGTTATTTTCGCTGTAAGTCTTCTGTTGATAATGAGTGAAAACAGCGCGAAATTTCATGGTCCTAGCTACATAAATGGATGAATTATAACGAAAAATCTCATATCTGAACAATCAGTTGTATGGGAGCTATAGGTTATAGTTACCCGATCTTTTTAATTTTCACTGTAAGTTTTCTGTTGATAATTATTGAAAACAGTGCGGAATTTCATGTTCCTAGCTATATAAATGGAGGAGTTATAACGAAAAATTTTATATCTGAACAATCAGTTGTATGGGAGCTATAGGTTATAGTGACCCGATCTTTGTAATTTTCACTGTAAGTATTCTGTTGATAATGGGTGCAAGTACTGCAAAATTTCATGTTCCTAGCTGCATAAATGGAGGAGTTATAACGAAAAATCTCATATCTGAACAATCAGTTGTATGGGAGCTATAGGTTATAGTGACCCGATCTTTGTAATTTTCACTGTAAGTATTCTGTTGATAATGGGTGCAAGTACTGCAAAATTTCATGTTCGTAGCTGCATAAATGGAGAAGTTATAACGAAAAATCTCATATCTGAACAATCAGTTGTATGGGAGCTATATGTTATAGTGGTCCGATTCTTCCGGTTCCGACAAATGATTAATACATTATAAAAATACACCCACCTACCAAATTTGATCCGGATATCTCGAAAACTGAGAGACTAGATTGCATACAAACAGACAGACAGACGGACAGACGGACAGACGGACATGGCTAAATCAACTCAGCTCGACGTTCTGATCATATAAGTATACATTTTAATGGGTCTATCTCTTTTTGTTCTGGTACTTACAAACATCGGACCAAAGTTATAATACCATTTCATGCTCATGAAAGGTATAAAAATTATAAAAATCGACGGTAAATCTTAGCTAATTACACTTTATTTTAATAAAATTTAATGTGCCACGAAACTGTATACTCAAAATTTTTCTAAGAAATCCATCTAAAAAGTTTTAAATTTTTACAAAAGCTTTTTTTTTTAAATATTGCACAAAGTTTGAAACATAGATTTATACGATTTTTGTTAGAGTAAACCATATCTTGGCAAAAAAAATAACTAAAATTAAATGACAAAAAATATATTATTAAAACTTGTCGCGTTTATAATTTTGACACGAATTTTGGACGTTAAATATGGTAAATCAATTAAAAATATTGTAACCTAAGAAATAGGCATTTCGTTTCTATTACATAGTTGTAACAAAATGTGAACACTTTGTAAACATATAACATATAACGAAAAAATAAAATTTTGAGAATTTTTTTTTTAAAGCGACTTATAGTGTCTTCTACATTTTCTCTTATAATTATCTAGAGAAACCGGAAATACCATAAGATTCGTCGAAAAACTGTCGTCTGAACAATTTGACCACCTTAATGTACATATTTTAAAAGTTTAAATTTTTTTTTACAACTAGATGCCTAAAAATTTTTCTTGCCAAAAACCGGGACATTTCGCGTCTCGGTATGTGTTGTACCGGGACCGGGACATAGCTCTAAAATCCGGGACAGTCCCGTCGAAAACGGGACGGTTGGCAACCGTGACCTGCGGTCCGCTTTAAACTCTTGTTCCCGTGTCCGCAGTATTCGTCACAGCATTTTACCGAATACCAGTGTTGCCGTTGAGTTTTTCAGAAAGTCGCAAAAAAGGTGCAATTGACGAAAAACGGGTCAAATTATTTTTGCTTTTCTTTACTGGTAAAAGAATAAATCTGAGAACCAAAGTCAAAATCAAATTTGCATGTACATAATATAGTCTTTTCGCTGCTAGAACATTCCGCTGCTGAATTTAAAAAGAAAATAGCGGGAGAAGATTTGCCCAAAACACGGTTGCAAACATACACAAAAATCGAGTTGCTGCAAGAAGAGTTGCATTTCCTTTAAAAATTTTAATTGATGGAATTTTTTCGTAATTACAGGAGGAAATATTTTATGAAAGCATGGTTCTAATAAAATTTCATGGAAAAATCGCTGAAAACGGGCAAAAGTCGCATATAATTTTGGAAAAGGGTCAAAAAATCTAAATTTTTAAAAAGTCGGGTTAAAGGGTATTGGCGCTTAAAAAGGGTCAAATTGCCCCTTTAGTCGCACAACGACAACACTGCCGGATACCTTCGGACCATGTAAACCCTTTTTTGTCGACTAAAACTAGTAAAACTGTCAAAAAATAAAAATTCGCTCAGAGCGAGAGAGTAAGAATACAACTACACAATAAGCTTTTTAGGCGTTCCGCGCTTTTTAGGCTTTCATCAATATCCGAATTGTGTAGCTGAAAGCCTGAAAAGAGCCAAACGCCTGAAACGCTTGTTGTTGAGTTGTACTCTAACACTGAAAAGTACGGGATCGCTTTCTAGTAAAAAATTATAACTTCTGACAACTTCAACATATACTTCAAAATTTTTGCATGTAAAACACGCTTAGCTCACACATGTAGAAAACCAAAAATTCTTTCAAATTCATTAGTATCCACTTAAACAAGTAATTAAACACCTTTCAACATGCATTAGCAGAATGCGCCTTTCTTTTGTTTACAATTTGGTTGTCAACCGCACTACAGCTGATCGTTTGTCGCACTTACCAGAATTTAGCAGCAAAAAATCTTCGGACTCAAACTGGTAACTTCTGAGAGAGACAACCGTATTTACACCCTTTTTTGTTTTCTCAATAGTCAGAGAACCGAGTACTGGATCGGTTTCCAGTAAAATCTGACTAATTCTGATTAGTCCGGACTCATACGGGATCGCAGCTTCTAATTTTGTTTAGTTCTGATCATTGGATCATGAAGAAACTAACGGTACTCTCAGATTTATATATCGTCGTTTAAAGTGCAAAACCGCGTATCCCCAAAATGCAAAACCGCGTATGTGATGTTGTAGAAACTATTTTCTAGAGCGTAAAAACACTCATATTTCAAAATAGTTCTCTTTTTTATAAAGAAATCGCATTTCTGCTTAGTATATTTCCGGACGAATGGATAAGGATTGAGCCAAGAGCTTGTGTGAGCAAATCCAATTTTTGGCTGCCAATGTCAGTTACGCGGTTTTGCAGAATGACGATACGCGGTTTTGTACTTTAAACGACGATATGAGCATTGAAGTCGGCTGGTTTTTCTTTTTGCTTAAAAATCAATTGTGTTTGTTTAGAGGGAAAACTTTGACTAAATACTTTGAAGACGTGTTTCTCGTCTTATTGATTTTTTTTACTTACAGAATTCTTCCAGTTCATACTCTGCGACACGAGTGGAAGCAATTTATTGCTCATAGAAAGCCATAAATATCAGTATACCCCTTTGTATAATAAAAAATTCAGATTAAAAAAATTTATATGGGGATGAATATGTCCTGGTCCTGAACTTAACGGTCAAATTTTTTAGCGGGGATGATAATAATTAGTGGTGTTATTGAAATATTTAGATTTCGAATGAAAGGTATTAATTTACATTTTGTCTGATACATACATATATCGTCGTTTAGAGTACAATCCCGCGTATCAACAAATTGCAAAACCACGTATCAAAATAATGCAAAACCTCGTATCAAAATAAATCAAAACCGCGTACTGAAGTTGCATAAATTATTTTATAGAGTAAAAACACTCATATTTCAAAATGGTTCTCTTTTTTATAATGCAATCGCGTTTCTGGCTAGTATAGTTCATGACGAATGGATAAGGATTGAGCTAAGAGCTTGTGCAAGCAATCCAATTTTTGGCAAAAAATGTCAGTTACGCGGCTTTGCAGAACGACGAAACGCTGTTTTGTACTTTAAAAGACGCTATATATATTTTTTTAAATCACGTTATTAACAATATCAGTTTAGCAAACCAGATGGAACAGAAAATTAGCTTCGATTTAATATACATGAATACATATACATATATCTACCTACCTATATTAGAAAACTAACATTTTACGTAATTTAAATGTTGATTTAGGGTTACGATTTTAGTTAATTTTGTTCTTTATACAAAAACTTGTCCTTTCTACTTCAGAATATTTCTTAAATTTTTGGTTGTTCCTCGACAGTTCCTTCCAGTGCCGCCACAACTTTCAAAAATAAAACAAATG